TCATTGAAATATTTTAAGAAGAGTGAAATTTTCAATTTTGAAATATTTAAAATTCAGAACCCTAATCATAATATTTATATATTTTATCGATTTGTCAGTTCCTGAAATGATTTATCCCAACAATAAAATTCCCGATATATAATCTATCAACAGTAAGTATCAAAATCGTCCTCACGAATAATTATTGAAAATTATAAGTTACAATAAAATAACTACTCTTAGAACCGTTATTTTTCGTTTATACTTTATAATTTATATAATTATATGTTACATTTCGTGTAAATTTGAACTTAAAATATCTACAAAAAAGAAGGTGGACAACACTTAGTGGATGTCACTCTGCTGTACAGTAGGTTATAAGTGAATCACTGTAATGGATGGTATTAAATTTGAATTCAATGATATAATATCATTGTACGAGTATAAGAAAAACGATTCTGAGCTAAGAAGCGTATGTCAGCTTACAACAGGGATAATATAATCACATATTTTAATATACACAATTAGGCCACATATAAAATTATAAAAGTGTTTTGCCCCAATACAAACAAAATTGAGTAAATATTATAAAAATAATTAAAAAACAAAAATAATTTTTTTTTTTTTGTAAATATTTGATAAATGTACCGGGCCTCAAAACTTTCCAAGGCGGGCCGCGGGTTGGCCATCCCTGGCCTACAATATCACTATAGGTGTGCATTATATTTGTTTTAAATTTCCAGTCCTTACTTATAAATTTTTTTTTGAATTTTTAAGTACAACACAATTTGCACATTTTCGGGATTTTGATATAATTTATTTTGTCAAAATTTGAACGTTAAATGCTTATAAAAAAAATTCCTGGCTATGCATTTCTTAAATTTTTAAATTATAAATAGAATATATTATGAAGAGCCTTGTATTAAATTTTTCAGTTTTTTTATCCAAACAAAATATTTTCATCGTATTTCTAGAAAAAAACTAAAAAAAAGTCGAAAAATTCTTATGCCTACAATTATCTCAAAAAGGGTTAAAATATTTTTTAAATTTAATTGTGTATATAAAATAATAATCTTAACATTCGGTGAACCTTGCAAGTTGCAGGTATCTACATAATTAAACAATCCTAATTCATTTTTATCCAAATAATTTTTTTTTTTTTGATTTTTATGTATTCCTGAATTTGATTGTTCTTGGCACTATTTTTTCTAAAAATAAAATCCCGATTTTGACGGTTCCTGAAAAATCTTTATCCCAAATTGAATTTCCTGCATTAGAATTTTCCTATGAAATACTGTTTCATGTTTTTTTGGTTCCTATAAAATATCGTTCATGTTGTTAAACAATCCTAATCAATTTTTGTCTTGATAATTTTTTTTCCCGATTTTAACGCGCTCCCATTTACTGTCCTAAACGGCGATGACAGACACAAAAAAAAAACACACATCATTGATCATCATGATCATGATCATCATCACAAATCAATACATTTATTGCTCCTCTCAGAATATAAAATGTTACTAAATGTATACAGAAAATGAAGGTTCTAGTATGATAAATCCTGTAGAAATATTTACGGAAAATGTATCTAAAATAGAAATAGAAACTAAAGCTAGAATGCCCACAGAAATCGAACCAATAACGGCAATAACCAAACAGAAGGGTGGTTAACCATCGTTTTTCAAAATTAGTAGGCCACAAGTATCATTCTGTTTGGTCATTTATTTAAAAAATGAGGTTAAAGTTGTCTTTTGATGCAACAAAGTTAGCCAAATTTTAAATAGGTGATTTTAATAGAAAAAAAAAGGTGGGCAAGTGGGTGTCGCCCTGCTGTACAGTAGGTTACAAGTGGGTCACTGTATAATGGATGATATTAAATTTGAATTCAACGATATAATATCATTGTATAAGAAAAACGATTCTGAGCGGAGACGGTATGTCAGTCTATGTATAAGACATATTATATACATATCTATGGTATTAAACAAAAAATTGACCTATAATAGGTACCTATAATAAATTCCAAATTAATCATATCACAATGTCCATTAGGTACTTATAACGCGTTATACATCAACAAAAACCGTGATACTATCATAGATATATAATAGTACACTTTAGAAGTTTCAAGTACCCACGAATAATATTATTCAATCACAACAAAATAACTAAAATAGTTATTCTAGGTTTTTTAATATGTAATTTCGTCCAAATTTGAATTTAAAATGTCTGTAAAAAATAACTGTGTTCATATATTTTTTAGATTTTTGGTTACAGTATGAACTATTTATGAGAACCTTTGTTTTAAATTTGCAATCCTTAGCTATAAAAACTGAACATTTTATAATTTATTAATTTCAATGATTGATAATTTTCGAGATTTTGATAAATTTTGTCAAAATTTGATCTTTAAATGCTTATAAAAAAAAACTGTGCCTATGTATATTTAATATTTTTCAACTGCTATTGTAACAATATATCAGGAGCCTTGTATTACATTTTTACACTTTTTGGCCCAACAGATAAAACTTTATTGATATTTATAGAAAAAAAAAACTAAAAAAAATTGAAAGCTGTAAATGTCCATAAACAGCTCAAAAAGAGTCAAAATATTTTCAAAATTGTATGGTGTATAGGAAATGCTAGTATAAACATTCAGTGAAATTTTCATGTATCTACAGTTCTTTGTTTTTGAATTACAACAAAATAAGGAAACCGCTACATGGGAAATCGAGTGAACATCCAATGTTGTAAACATTTGAATTTCAAACGCTCATAAAAATTTAATTTGACTTTCTTATAGACAATTTTTTTTTGATAAAGGTAGATAATCTTATAAGGAATCTTGTGTTTAATTTTCAAATCTTAGATTTAAAAAGAAAAATTTTTACGAATTCTTAACTCAAAATAATTTGCTAATTTTCGTGATTTTTCCATATTTTGTCAATTTTTGAACTTTAAATGCTTATAAAAAAAAATTGTGACTAAGGATTTTTAATATTTTTCATCTGCCTTTGAAACAATATATTAGGAGCCTTCTATTAAATTTTCAAGCTTTCACAACCAACAAATAAAATTTTATTGCTATTTTTAGAAAAAAAAACTAAAAAAAAATGGAAAATGAAAATGTCCCTAAACAGTTCAAAATAAATCAAAATATTTTGAAAATGTTATCGTGTATAGAAAAAGCAAATATAATCAACTAGTGAAAATTTCATGTATATACGTTCATTTGTTTTAGAGTTACACCAAAAACCAAAATCGATTTTTAGGAAAACCAATTTTGCGTAAAAATTCCCGTTTTCCCTTAATTTTTATGTTGTTTTTCCCGGCGCTTGTGAAAACTACTTGGAAATTTATACTTTTGACCCCCCAAAGTACCAACTAGATTCACTTTACTATCAGAAAAGCTACTGATGAAGAAAATCCAAGCACTTTTACTGTCCTAAAACGTGATGACAGACACAAAAAAAAAAAAAAAAATAAAAAAAAAAACACACATCATTGTAAAATCAATACATTCATCGTTTCACTCAGAATCTAAAAAAATTATGTTAAGATGCAAGACAAATTATATAAAAAATGTAGTGAAGGCTTAACACAATAAGATTATTTTAATTTTTTTACATTATATAGGTATATATTTTTATTAGTAACAATTTTACTACATTAATATAAATTAACTTTCTGACTCATTTTAATTATTATTATATTATATGAATATTTGACAGCTATTGCTTACACAAGTCATTTTTAACTGTAAATTTTAACTTTTTTTAATTTTACTTTGCATTAAATTTAAAAATAAATAATAATAATACATTGTATTACATTTATTGTTGCAGCACAAAAATGAATCCGTGTCATTTTTATCCATGACTTTTTTATGGGTGGCATTTTTGTCCCGTGGCTTTTTTTGTCCATGGCTTTTTTCCATAATAAGATGAATAAAACTCGAAAAATTAGATTTAGTATGAATCAGAGCACTCAATATTTATTAATACAAATAGACATTTAAAATCCACTGAAAGATACGCAAAATATTTTTTATAAGTTTTACTTTTTAGTAGGTAATAAATCAAATGGAATAAAATAATAAAAATGAAATGTGAAATAAAGATCATATTTTGATATATTTTAAGGGTGGAACATTGAATTAGGATAAAATAGAAAATTAAACTTTATTCATTTTGTAGATAGTTTCATTTGGGTACTGCAAGAAAAACAAACCATTTTTATATACCTAGTGCAATATAATAAAATATTATTGATGATTTTTTTTTTTTTTTTTTTTAATTATCGAAATTAACGTATGTGCACCCTACTATATGCTGCACACTCAAAAATGGTGTACCTACTACACTAAGTGTGTGTCATACACCGTATTACATACAATGTAGGTGGTTTTTCATATACTGTAGGATTATGGGAAATCTTTACCTAAACCTATCGAAAATACTGAATAGGTAGCACTCTATCCCACCTAGCCCCCTGCCGTAAGGACAATGGACATGAATACAATAGCTTAACTATAGGTAGTTATAAGACTTAAGAGCTTATAACTATATTATGTTCTGTCAGGCTACATTGCATATTATATACTTATATTATATTAATTAATACTACCTATATTAATATATTATCAACCATGGATTGGTGCATTTTTAAATAAATAATAAATAATAATAGAATAACAATAATAGGTAATAGATTTAAATTTAAAACATTAAACCTCGACAATTTAGTCTTTAACTTATTTAGTTAGGTATTTTTTAAAAAGATAATATAATATATATAATTAATTTAGGTGTTATTAACAGTCGCATGATCATTTTTAATAATTCTCGTAACGGCAACATAATTATATATAACGCAGGACTGCTTAATATTGATAAAATAATATATTATGTTATCTCGTTAATTAAATATTATTATTATATTGTATCGACGTGATTAAACGGCTTCGCACTTTAATACTCCGTGGCCGACGTTATTTACACGCGATCGTTTTCAGCAGTCCATCATGATTTCTGGCGCATTAATAGTTCTTAATGAAACTTTCCAAAGCTATGGGTGGCAAGAGGCGCCTCTCACTTTCCGTCACGCTGACGAAGTCAAGCCTGGTGATGCGCTTCAACACGGATAGGACCGCGGTCCGGTAACCGTGGTACTCGGCCACCGGGTTGTTCTGCAGCGTCACCGACCTGAGCTTTGGCAGCCGGTTGATGCGCGCCACGGCGCACAGGCTGGCCAATCGATTGTGGTGCAAGTACAGCGTACTCAGATTTGGGAACCCGAGCAGCGCATCTGACAGGTCGGTCAACTGGTTGTGAGACAGGTCTAGCCAGCAGAGGGCATTTGGCTGCCAGAGCAGTTTGTCAACCAGCAGCCGGATGTTGTCTAAGCCACCGGTCAACCGGTTGTGGCTCAGTAAAATCGAGGCCGTCTTGTACCGGCCATGGCGCGTGGCCGGCTAGCCCAACATCCTATACGAACTGACGAAGCCCGTGGAGAACACTCGAAGCGAGCTGGGCAACAGCGACTCCAGGTCTTCGAACGACAGGTCCAGTGGTTTGGCCCGTTTGTATGAAAATGGCACTTTCATCGATTTCATTATTATTAGTAGAAATTTGTTGTTTCACGTGTAAATTTATTTTTTGTTACAACATTTTACTAATTATAGTTCTCATAACAACGGATCGTCCTATTTAATATGGTATGTTATTGTAATAAACAAACAATTTTAAAATCCATAATATAATATATATTATAATATATTATATTATATTATATTATATTATATTATATTATATTATATTATATTATATTATATTATATTATACTAAGCGCCACTGTTGTAATTTGACATCCAGATTTCCTACTTTTCTACTTTTCCGGTAGATTTTCCTAAAATGATCTTTCAAACCTTGTCTTGACAATTACAAAAAAAAAGTGGGTAAGTAGATGTAGCTCTGATGTACAGTTGGTTACAAGTGGGTCACTGTAATGGATGGTGTTAAATTTGAATTCAATGATATAATATCATTGTATAAGAAAAACGATTCTGAGCGAAAACGGTGAGTCAGCCTATGATATTAGTTATTAATTATTACTAAGTATGTATTTGATGATATTATTGTGAATCCTTAGCTATAAAAGTTGAACATTTTATACATTTTTAACTACAAAATAATTATTAAATTTTAAATTTGATAAATTTTGTCAAAATTCCAACTTTAAATTCTTATAAAAAAAAATGTGACTATGTATTTTGAATATTTTTCAACTGCTATTGTAACAATATGTATCAGGAGCCTTGCATTACATTTTCACGCTTTTTTACCAAACAAATAAAACTTTATTGATATTTATAGAAACAAAAACTAAAAAAATTGAAAACTGACAATGTTTGTAAACAGCCCTAAAAGAGTCAAGATATTTTCAAAATGTTATCGTGTATAGAAAATGAAAATATAAACATTCAGTAAAATGTTCATACTTCATGTATCTACAGTTATTCGTTTTTAAATAACAATAAAATAACAAAACCGCTACATGAGAAATCGAACTTCAAACGTTCATAAAAATGTAATTTGATTTGCTTGTATACATTTTTTTTTTGATAAAGGTAGACAAACTTATGAGGAATCTTGTATTACATTTTCAAATCTTAGATTTAAAGAGAATCATTATGAATTATGAATTTTCAACTCAAAATAATTTGCTAATTTTTGTGATTTTTCCGTATTTAGTCAAGAATTGAACTTTAAAAAGCTTATAAATAAAACGGTAACTAAGGATTTTTAATATTTTTCAAATGTCATTGTTACAATATAGTAGGGGCCTTGCATTAAATTTCCAAGCTTTTTTACCCAACAAATAACATTTTAATGACATTCATAGATTTACTAATAAAATTAGAAACAGAAAATGTTCCTAAACAGTTAAAAACAAATCAAAATATTTTGAAAATTTTATCGTGTATAGAAAATGCAAATATAAGTGAAAGTTTAAAGTTACACCAAAAACCAAAATCGATTTTTAGTAAAAATTCTCGTTTTTCATTAATTTTTGTATTGTATTTCCCGTTGCTTTTGAAAACTATAGGGATTTTTAAATTTTGACCTCCCCAACGCACCAACAATATTTACTTTTCCATCGAACAAGATACTGAAGTTGAAAATCGAAGTATTAATTCGACTACTTTCGTGTACACAGACACAAAAAAAAATAAAATACACATCATTGTAAAATCAATACTTTCATCGTTCCACTCAGAATCTAATATTAGCGATTCCAGACGTTCACGCGTGATGCGATGACCAAGAGAAATAGGATCTAATTCAATATGAACAGATTAGAGTGTATTACTATAATAAACCTATATTATAGGTACCTTCATATATTTTTTGTCAATTTAATTTAGATATTGTTACAAAAAAAAGAATTACAATTTTATTTTTATCTTATCCAGTCTATATTAATTGCAAACGTTTAGCCGTTTTATAGGTACCTCACGTATTATAAAATGTTTGTACAACTTCCACTTTTCTAGTAAAAAAAATGATGGGATCATAAATTTAAATGGAGGTTTTTGGAAGAAAGTTGGATCTAGTTCGTCCTTTTAGGAGGTTGAAATAATCAGGAAGAACAAAAATCAATTAAAATTTGTTAAAATTGATTGGTAACCCTAATTATGGTTTTACAGTTCACTTGGATTATATTTGATTAGTTTTAGTTTTTTTTCTAAAAATATCAATAAATAATTATTTGTTTGGTCAAAAGGCTTAAAAATTTAATACAAGGTTCATCATAAGTTTTTATTGTAGCTATTTAAGAATATTAACCATACATATAAGCCAGATTATTTTTTATAATCATTTAAAGTTCAAATTTTGACATAACCACAATTTATATGTAGTACAATATGTATATAAAATATAAAATTTGTATTTTGTATAGTTAAGACTTGGAATGCAAGTACCTCGTTCATACTTTTATCAAAAAATTACTGATTATTTTGGTATATTATTTTGGTATGCAAATATGAATTCATTCTGTCAGGATTGTTGAATGGTGGAGGGGGTGGTGAGGGTATTTAACAACTTAAACCGTTTATTACCTATTGTAAAAATATATACAAGTACATTAATTATTATTAGGTACATTTCTTTAATAATATACTCACACGTGCTAGGTACGGTCTAGCAATTAGAATTTGGCAGTGTGAAATAATTATATATCATATTTATAGATACAATATACAATACACATACATTGTTTATTAGTTTGTTACAAATGTGAAATGGATTATGATTATTATTTCAATAGAAATTTTAATTTTCCATATAACTTTAACTAAGTTAATAAAAAATAGAAAAACTCATTAAAACTTTTTAAAATGTTTCTTATCAACTTAACTTAAGTAAATTAATAATGTTCATTAACTTAACCTTGGCCTAGGCTTGGGTATAGTTTATACTTTATGATCGACATATTGACAAATATTAATGCCTGATGTTTTGAACAACCATTACTTGGCATTTAATTTCAGACCTATTACCTATAAGCTAGTTTGTAACCGCACTATAACCATATGACCCTATTACGTTTATACTTTATAGGTACTCCTATTGGCTATTATAGTAGGATAATATACTATAGTTATACTGTGATAGTAGCTAGTATATATATTATATTATTATTATTATATTATTATTATTATACTGTTATATTGTTATATATATAAATATATAAATAGTTTATAATAATATATAATAATAAATACCTAGTAGTGCAATATTATTGTTATTTAAAAGTATCCAACTATTCCAACTCCTTATGTTGATTAAATATTTTTAAATGAAAACTGAGTGCAAAAATTATTCAAAGGACGATCAATAGTTTTTTCACACAGACAAGCGAATATGAGAACATTATATTAAAACAATGAAATTTCTGGTATGCATTATGAAAATATTTTATCCTTGAGTTCTTTTATATATACATAATACTAGCTGATCCCGTGCACTTCGTTGCCCCGTTAAATGTATCAATTCTATATGTCTCAAAGTTTGTTCAATTCGTTATTTAATATTCGGTGTATGCGGTGTTCAAAATTAATCTTAACTTTTCCGTTGCCCCGAATAAAAATTCTGATTCGCAACAGTAATCTACCTGCGATAGATCGCGTACCCTGTTCTGTTTGTACGTAAGTGTATGATTTAACTCTAAAGTATCAAAGTTATACCAAGTTTATCGTTTTTACTTCATTTCGCCTAAGGTGGATTATTATAATCATTTTATACAAAATCTTATCCTAACCTAACCGTACTAAAACCCGATGAAAAAAAAACAAATTTAACCCTTAGTAAATTAACCTTTCTTCTTCCCAGACGTCTAATCTACCCACAAACATTAATTTATATATATATATATATATATATATATATATATATATATAACTATATAAATACACGGACTATAACTATACAGACTCTGGAACTACTTATTGGATCTTTTTGTATTTATTATATATATATGATATATGTATACCTATTGACAAAAAATAATGATACAAATCAAGAACATGCCCGATTAACCAATAGCAACCGATATAATATAATACACTGGTGGATTTTCCTAACATTTTCTTTTTCATATAAACCTTATCCATGAAATACTCTTTCATATAAACCTTATCCATGAAATACTCTTTCATTTAAAAAAAATAAAGAAGATCTGATAAGAAGCTCCAGAGGTAAGTAGTACAGAGATTTTCATTTCACATTTTTATAGTTAGATATTATATTACAATTTATATTTAAAAAGTAAAGCAAATAGTTTTTTTTTTTATTATTTTTATTATTGCAATAGCTTAAAAACCCATGGCAACCATTTATAAACAAAAATTTCCATCGGAAATCTCAAAATTCCCGTTTGAGCACCTCCCGGGGTTGGTCCTCTCCCTTTTTAAATTAGCCTATCTTTTAAGTTGGACCAAATTACACGCGGTGTAAAAAATTTCATCAAAATCGGTTAAGTGGTTTAGGAGTCCATTGAGGACAAACATTGTGACACGAGATTTATATATATTAAGATATAGTGCGTCGTTATTTGACGTTTTAGGTACCTAGCCACATATTTTTATAATGAATATAAATACAATACATAAATGATAAATTATTATCTTTGGTATTTTTCATCTGTCCATCATACATAAATATTATACCCATTATATATTGTTTTGGTAATAGGCAATAGCTGCATATAAATATTGAATATCAATAATTTAATTTTACAATTTCACGATATTTTCTGAACAAAATACACGCTCAAAATGATGTACCTTAAAGTTTTGCAGGGGTGAGGTGTGGTGAGGGGATGAAAGCAGTTGCTAACGGTTGGCTTTTATTCTTCCGTCGGTCGGAAGAATAAAATACTGTCCATATAATAATTATATACCCAAGTATAATAACTATAACAAATTATAAATTATAAATATAATATAAAGTCTTATGCCCTGCAGATATAATAACAGTGCCGTAGATGAGTTGGGGTAGGAGGTTCAACCCCCCAACCGTACAGCATGGAGAAACAATATAAGATGTAATT